GAAAATAAATTAATATTATCCAATCTTAAGAACAGAGAGGAAAAAAGACGACTAGAAAAAATAATAAGTCTCAGAGACACATAAAACAATATCGAAAGGTCCTGCATATGTGTGATTGGAATCCCAGAAGATGAGAGAAAGGAGGGGGCAGAAAAGAAACATTTAAAGAAGTATTCTTGACCTTGAAAGGGTTTGGATTACATTGTATGTGCGTTTGTCAAAACTCAAAAAATACACACTTAAAATGTGGGCAGCTCGTTGTGTGCAAAGTTTATGTTGAAAGAAGAAAACTAAACAGATAATGAACTCTAGTAAATGACATATATGCTTAAGTATTTAGAAGGAAGTATAATGACGTCCACAGTTTACTCTGAAATGCATTCTCCCCCACAAAAGAGGATTAATGGACAGAGGAATGGATGTGATATCAAGTATAGTAAAATGTAAATAGAAGAATCTATGTGGTAGATATATAGGTATTCACCATTAAGTTCTTTCCATTTTTCTATGTCTGAAATTTTTCATATAAAATTTTGAGAGAAAAAAGATCATTGTGACTGACAGTGTTTCAATGTAGTAGAACAAATCGGTTTTAAAATACAAGTTTCATGTTGTTTCCTCTTCTTTAGTTCATTGGCCTCTACAACATCAGGCAAAATTCAGCCACTGAATCGACTTCATTCAAGTGGCCATTTAAACTGGGAAGTGTATTTAGACGGAAAAGTATATTTATAGACCTCGAAGTATAGTGGTGAAGGAAGTTGGGAAGAAAGACTAGTCATTGCTTCCTTATTTCTCTTTACACCAAATTTTAGAAAACAATGGATAGGAATGTTTCCTATATAATTCCACCAGTTTTTTCTTTCAAAATGTGTGAAGGATAACTGATATATTATTTCTTTAAAAAAAGCCACATCTATACACAAATGTATTGTATTATGATCTGGTTTCATAATGGGACCTTTCAAAAATACTGTACATTAAGTTCCTCTATAGAAAGATCAAAGCATATAAAAAGCAAAATGTAAAATGTGTATACAAAATACACATCTTTATGTTAAAAGTTATAAAAGAACAAAATTACAGCAATCACAGCATTTAAATGTTGCATGTTGATTTTTAAAACCCTGCCATTTTATTGTTTACCTTCAAGTTCTTCCAGATGTGAAGGAGTTCCTTGTGTTCTTGGCTGAATATAAGATAACTTAAACCTGGGCACCACAAATGGTACTTCTTTGCCATCAGATGGTAATTTGGAAAGTAAGTAATCCTCAGTACAGCCAACCTGAGGCTTTACAGAAACAGAAGTCAATGGAGGTATAGAGATAGTAGTACTTTGACTATTTGAGACTGCTGTTTTAAAGTCTTTTTCCACGGAAACTGCATGTAAAAGAAGGAAAAAGAAAAGAAAAAAAAAAACATCACAAATATGCACGTAGATTTATATGTAAGCATCTAAACCTAACATATTTTGGTACTTAATCATTTTAGTAGAAACTGCTGATGCATAAACTACTCTAGGCTCTTATCAAGAACATCTGTCCAGCCAATAGTCAAGCAATTAATACACTATTGCTAAAGTATATTAATTTATCATAATAGTAAAGGCAGTTTTCAAAGAGTCTCATTCCCATAAGAGTTCAGAGATGGCAAACAAGTTTATTTTGTAGTTAATTCTACAATACTTTCAAGTAAAATCTAGTCATTTAAAAACACTCCCAATGAAGCAATTCTTGGTGTCAATACTATTGGTTAACATCAGTCTTAAATGCATTAAGCAATTCTGAAAAGAAGCTAACAGTCTCCAAGTCTATAAAAATCTTCACCAAATCACAAAATAAAGTATATATACCCTAATATAATAGCACCTCTCCCTGTACTGGCTTCCCTGACCTATTTTGTCCATTCTCTAAAACGATATGTCATTCCAAAAATGTGTGACCTAGGATGAGGAGCTAAGGGACACACAGAGTTAATCTTTATATACAAACGGTATTGTCTGTAGACTGAATATAAGTACACCTACCATTGTGTACGAACTTATGAAATGTTTTAATGCAAAAAAGAAGCCTTCATACTCAAATATACTAGAAAGCTGTGCTCTAGTAAGAAATACAAGAGCCAGTGAAAAATAAAGTTCCAGTCTTAACCCTGAAGACATGAGGAAACCACCTAATAGAAAGGAAACCTCCAGGAGTCCTTGATAAATGCGGGTCTTGAGACATTTTGGGTCTCTTCTCCCCATCGGTCATTCTCCCCTTGGTCTTTCATTCACGAAAGGCATTTTTTAAACATTTAAAACATTTATCAGAGCAGGCTGTCCCCCAAACACACCCAACACTTATCTTTCCCCGCCTTTGCCTGTACTACGTCATCCACCTAGAATACTCCGTAATTCCGTCTTCCCTCTCAGCTGCCTAAAATCCTCTTCAGACTTCATGCCAAATGCCATCTTCTTTGTGGTGCTGCCCCAGGGTGCCTCTGGGTTGAATTCATCTCTCTCTTCCCTGTGCTCCAGGGTATTTTAATACTTACCTAGTGTGTCTTATATTTATGTTTCTACTTCTCCCATGAAGTGAGGAAATGTGTCTCATTTATCTTAATATTACACAATGCCACAGATAAAGAAGACATTGAAAGAAATGTCTGAAGTCAAAGCAAAACAAAACTCACGGTTGTGTTTTTCTGGTTCACTAAAGAAACATCCTCTACAGCAACTCTTTATAAACTCTGTTGCCATCATGTTCAATTTCCAATATCCAGCAAAAGATATAACTTCTGATTTTAATATTAATCTGTTGGTGGAACAGAAAACAAGTTAAAACGATCATATCATACTTAATGCCATTAGGTATCACTAAATAAATCCTATTATCTGTCTTTCTAAGACGTTCAAATGTTTAGAGGACGATAGATTTTGGTACCTATATGTAATTTTGTATAACCTAGGATTCTGAAAAGTTAATAAAATGACATGCTTAAAAATTACTAAAAGAACCATCTCGATGTTAAACCTGAAAAAAAATTCCACTCTCAATTTTCTCTTTAGCTTTGTAAATCTAAATTGACATCCAACCCAAATTTGAAAGATAATATGGCACTCTTAAAAATGCATGAGAAAAATTTCACTTCCTCCAAATCAATTATTTTAGTAACCCGAAGGCTCTATTATGGGGCCAATAAGCAAATAACGCCATACTTTATGAGTTTAAGGCTTAAAATTACACTAACCAAAAAAATGTATCTTAAACTTTCTCTCTCTCTCTCTCTCTCTCTCTCTCTCTCTCTCACACAAACACACACACACACACACACACACACACACGACACCAGCTAAGTCACAAACAAGAGATATTGGAAATAAACGGAGTCTGTTTTAAATTTACCAGAAATATAAAATTATGTAAGAACGTCATGTCCAATGGCCCACCTTGGTCTCAATGACTTTGTTTTAAATGCACTCTCTTCATCTATACTTACTTAAACTGTACATTTTCATGGGAAATTTCAAATGTATACTAAGGAAGACAGGATAACAAATCCCCATCATCCAAATGAAATAATTATTAATTCATGGCAAATCGTAATTCATCTCTACCTCCTCGCTAACCCTGTCCTTTGGATTCTTTTGAAACAAATTCCAATCATATAATTTCATCCATAAGTACTTAAGTAATGATCTCTAAAAGATGTGGCAGAAGGCCCTCAGGAGTTAACTTCCAGAGGCTCTCACTGGCTAAAGATGGATCAAGTTGAGAATCAAAACAAACAGTAACTATAATGGATTCTAACAGAGCAAATATTTTTAAAAGGTACTTAAAAGAACATAATCATAATAGCATTATCATATCTAAAAAAATTCGTATAATTGACTACTCAGTCAGTGTTCAAATTTCCCTACGATGTCAAATTTTTTTTACAGTTGTTTCATTCAGAGCAAAATCAAAATGGGAATTGTCTCCAGTCTGTTGCGGTTAGAAAGAATGTCGGAGTAGCCTTGCGCACACATATTTTCAGATACTTCCCAGTATATATCTGTAAGATAGAGTCCTCGAGATATGACGACTGGGTCAAAAGGTCGATATGTATGTGTGATTCTATTTAATATTGCTCAATTTCTCTCTGAAGTTGTCTCATTTTGCATTCCCAGTAGCAATACATGAGAGCACCTATTTGTCACCAACAAAATATTTCTCAAATGCTGGACTTTTGCCAACCTGATAAAAAAATGATATCTTATGTAGTTTTAATTTGCATCTCTCTTAAGATAAATGAAGTTGGGTATCTTTTCATATAAGGCTAATCTGAATTTGTCTCTGGAACTCACTCTTATCTCTTGCCCATCTTCCTATAAAGCAGTTGGTCCTTTTCTTACTCAGTTTTGGAGGATCTTTAAATATTAGAGAGATTATCCCATTGTCCATGATATAGGTAGCAAACATTCTTCCAGTCTGTCATTGTCTTTTTACTTTATTATGGTGTCTTTTGCTATGCAAGACAGATTGAGCGAGAGAGGATGCTGCCTTTATTACAGACTAATTTTCCACATGCTGTTGAATTTATTACTATTTTCTACTGTCTTTAATGGGTCTGTAAATTCCTGTATGAATAGCACGTTTTTAAATTATAAAGGTTCATAATGTGTTTTAAAAACTAGTAGGGCTAGCCTCCCATCCTATTGATCTTCAATTTCAGGATTTTCCTAGCTATTCTTGTCTGTTCTCGCAAATGAACTTTATAATCTCTCTAGCTCTAAAAGAAAAAAAAAATCACTAGGATAATGTTAAATTTATAAATTGTTTTAGGAAAAATGACATCTTTAGGATGTTGAGTTTTCCTACCCAGAACTAGATACAGCTTTACATTTGTTCAGGTCTATGTTTGTATCTTTGGGAGTTTTCATAGTTTTCCTCATATAAATTCTGAACTTTTCTTGTTAAGTGCCTACCTGTAAAATTTGTTTGGTTATTACAATAGCAACTTTTCTTCCATTATATCTTGTAACTGATTTGTTTTAAAAATTTATACATTTTCAAAAGCCCTTTTCAGCCCAAGTTTAGAGAATACGATACTTAACCATCCAGGCCATACAAATTTCTCTCACCTCTAAACATCCCGTGAACTTAAAAAAAATAATTACATTTTTCTTGAAATTCATGAGACCTATTCTACTTCCCCTGTTACAATATAAATCATTCAGAAACTACATTGTACTCACTTTCTATTTAAGCTCAGTACCTTGTACAGATGCTGCATATACAGCTGGAACTCAGCAAATATGTAGTTGATAGACAAGGAAACAAAGTACAATAACTAGCTCATATAAAAACAAGTAACATACTCATCGAACTACAAATCTGACCCCAGTCAGCTTGCAAATACTTTACATCAATATGGAAGGGAATGCAGGAGGACTGGTTAAAAATGCTTCCTACTTCGGGAGAAAAAGTCCTCCAGGTTGACAGTCGTAAATCAGCCAAAATGAGCTGGGGAAGATGGGGGAGGGATGCAGAAAAGAAAACAAGTTTACATGAATAAGAAAAAGGCAGCTAGAATTTGCATGAGACTACTGAACAGTACAGAGGTGCACACAGAATTACAGACATCGGCAGAGGGTCCCACTCGAGTATTCAGCACAGCACTGCACACACAGAGCATGCACACAAAGAATCTACACAAGACTGGCAGAACACCACCAGAAAAGGTTACAAAAACCATGACCAGTACTCACCAACATCAGTAATAATGCCTATTCCCAGAAACCAGGCTGGAAAAACCTCGTAATTCACAAGGAATTAAGTAGAGTACTCGGAAGGGTCTTACCTCACTGGTAGACTTACCTCACCTAACAAATCTTAAAAGCAAGACTCAGAAATATCAAATGATTCCCATGAAACTTAACTATCTTCCAAAACAAAAAATATTTATAGAAATCTAAAAATATCCAGTACATAAGGTAAAATTCACAATGTCTGGCATCCAATAAAAAATTACCAGACATGCAAAGAAGCAAGGAAAATATAAGCAATAGAAAGGGGAAAAATTAACCAATTGGAATTAATTCAGAACTGATGCAGACAATTAAGGAAATGAAAACAGTTATAACTGCATTCTATATGTGCAAAAAGCAGAGACACGAAAGACATAAAGAGAGACACAAACTCTACTTCTAAAAATAAAAACTACACTGAGAGACACAAACTCAACTTCTAAAAATAAAAACTACACTGAGATGGAAAATACAGCTGATAGGATTAATAGCAGATTAGATATTGCAAAAAAAAAAAAGAATAACAAACTTAAAGATACAGTAAAAAACGATCCAAAATAAAATCACAGAGAAAAGAAAGCATAAACACAAAAATGTAAAGAACATTTGTGACCCATGAGACAATTTCAAGCAGCCTAATATACATGTAATGAAGAAGATGGGGGATGCAGAAAAAATATTTAAAGAATAATAATAAAGAAAAAATAATTTGGATAAAATATTTTCCAAATTTGATAACTACAAACCACAGATCTAAGAACTTCGATGAACACCAAGCACAGGAATTCTGAAGAAAACAACACCAAAATATATCCTAATAACATGGCTCAAAACCAGTGATGAAGAGGAAATCTTAAAAGAGCTCTAGAAAAAAAAAAAAAGACATAATATATATATAGGAACAAAGTAGCATAATTCTCATTGGAAAGAATGCAAGCACAAATCAGGGGAGCAAAATCTTCAAAACTGTGAAAGAAAAAAAACTGTCAATGTGGAATTTGATGCCTCAAGAAAATCTTTCAAAAAGAGAGGTGACATAAGCCTTCTTTCAGACACATGAAAGGTGAAAGAATGAACCACATGCAGATCCACACCATGAGAAGAGTTCAAGGACACCCTTCAGGCAGAAGAATGATACTAGATGGAAATTTGGGTCTACACTAGAGAACCATGGATAAAAATATAGAAGATTTGTTATTACTTAAATCTCTTCAAACGATTATTGATGCTTAGGTAAAAATAATAACATGGTGGTATGGGGAGATACAGAAGTATTCTATTGTAAGTTTCTCTTACTAGATGTGATGTGGTATAAAACACCATTTGACGATAGACTGTGCAAAGTTAAAGACATGTACTATAAATCCTAAACCAACGACTAAAATAAGAAAATAGTTTAGCTAATAAGCCAAAAGCTGATCAAATGGAATCATACAAAAAGTTTTTTCTCAATTAATATAAAAGAAAGCATAAAAAAATAAGAAAGTGGGGGCAAAGATCAGCTTGGATGAATGGACAACAAATAGCAATACGACAGACTAGGCGGTACAAAGAACAGGTGTGATAAATAGAAAACTGCAAGATGATTGATTTAAATTAAACCAATAATCACGCTAAGTTTAAATGCTCTAAATATACCAGTTAAAAGGCAGAGATTGTTATATTGGTTAAAAATGTGTGATCCAAGTATATGCTGGTTATAAGAAATATACTTTAAATATAAAGACACAAATAAGTTAAAAGTAAAAGGATGGCTATCCCTCATAAATATGGACACAAAAATCCTCAACAAAATACTACCAAACCAAATCCAGGAACTTACAGAAAAAATTATATATCATAAATATTACATATCTGAAAATCAATTTACATAATACATTATATAATAGAATACGGGACAAAAACTACATGATTACCAAAACAGATACAAAAAGAAGGCTGGAAAAATCCAAGTCATTCATGATTTTTTTAAAAAGCTGATCAAACTAGAAGAGAATTTCTCAACATAATAAAAAGTATCTATAA